GGGGACAAAGCCCAGATGGGTTGGGGGGGACAGGGGGTTCCCCAGAGGAGAGAGAACATCTCGGGGTGGGGGGTTCCAGTGGGCTGGGAGGAAGAGGTTGTCTCCATAACTTCCAGGGGATGGGGGGAGGTTTCGGGGGGCTGAGGGGTTTAAGGAGGGGATGGGGGGGTCTGATGGGGGGCAATAGGGATGGGGTTAACCCTAGCCCTGGTGTGACTCGGGGAGCTCGCTTTCCCAATGCTCCAACCCCCCCAAAATTACTGGGGGGCTAGTGTGGGCCTGGCTCAATGTGGGGATGATTCCTGCTGGGGGGCCCTAAAAATAGATGGGTAATGGATATGAGAAATTGTAGCCAGGACTCCTGGGTTCTCTCCCCGGCTCTGGGAGGGGAGTGGGGGCTGGTGGGTTAGAGCAGTGGGGCTGGGAGCCAGGACTCCTGGGTTCCCTTCCCGGCTCTGCGAGGGGAGTCGGGGCTGGTGGGTTAGGGGAGTGGGGCCTGGGAGCCAGGACTCCTGGGTTCTCTCCCCAGCGCTGGGAGGGGTGTGGGGTCTAGTGGTTAGCAATCAGTGACTCTATTCCCAGCCCTTAATCATTAAACCATCTAGTTTTTGGGCTGGGTAATTTTTACCTTCCTTTCCAGCCCGCCGTGCCCCACGCCAAGCGAGATCTTTGCCCCACACGGATCGCTTCCCCGCCAGCATGTGATCAGCGAAATCTGTGACCCGACAAATCCCCCTCTCCCGATGCCCCCTGAGAGGCAGCTCCTCCGCGATGGACCCCGACTCCCAGCTTAGTGATTGTTGGGTGCCCGCTGTCCGGAGGCCTGCCCCTCTCTGCCGCCGGGGGCCTGAGAGTCAGATCAGGGATAGGAGGGAGCCGGAATCTGTCTCGCCATGATAAAGTGGGACTGTACTTAATGTTTTCTCTGAATACTGTGTGGGTGCCTCAGTTTCCCCTAAGCAGTATCTAGGTGGTGGGATAAGGGGGTGTGATTGGTGCAGAGGCCTAGGGGGCCAGTGCGATGATGTCTGCACAGAGAATGGCTGACACCCTGTCTCCTGGCCACTGATGGCCTGGGCCCCTCCCCGGCAAGATGCCAACTGAAGGTGGTGGAGAACAAAGAGATCAGGTGACCTCCTGGCCCAGGAAAGAGACAAAGGCCAGAGGAGGGGCTGGAGAGTTTCAGTTTGAAGCTGGCTGGGGAAGCTGAGGGAGGCCCAGAGCTGGGGTCTAAGCTCTCTGCCCCCCAAGATGAGGGGGTCCTGTTGTCTGTACCTACAAGTCCTGTGTTGGACTGTGTTCCTGTCGTCTAAATAAACCTTCTGTGTTACTGGCTGGCTGAGAGTCATGGTGAATCGCAGGAAG